ATGTAAACATGTTTCATTTTTGGTTTCAATCACACTTAAGCTAAATGGATTTGTTCGAATTATAATATATATATAAACCTTACGCTTTAATATCGTAGTGAATAATGTATCCACGCCACTTGTACGATTATAGTAAAACTTGGGCTTTAGCAATCTCGGTACATCCAGACTTAGGTTATTATTATGAATAATTATAGCACAAGTAATAATATCTAAGATTAATTTGCAAACATTCTATATTTTAATGCGAGTTTAGCGTGTTAGCATATTATGTACTTAGAAATTGAGATAATATGTATTCATTAGTGCCTCGCTTGGCTTCTATCAATTAAGCACTAAAGTACAACTTGCTTTTTAGTAAATTATTCTAAAACGTGCTTTTAGACAGATTTAATCAATCGAATTTTTACTTTCATCCATTACTGATGATGGGCACTAAATGAATATTGTATAACTCTCTCTAACTCTATAAATACTACATTTAATAAGGTACATGTCGCAATTGCATGGAGATATCTTGCATGACGATTTTGGTCACATATACATTAAACTACGTACTGCTGTAGAGCCTAATTAACTTCTACTAAATTACGATTAAAATTCCATTTGTGTTGATAAATAATTTAGACTACTGGACCTCTCGCTTTGTTACATCAAGTAGTTTAGTTTAGTTTAGTCACAATTGTTTTGTTTATATATTTATATTATTTTGTTTTGTATATTAAGGTGTGTACATACTTTTAACGTACCTAAATTTATAAAAAAACTAAAAATCTAGTCTAGTCTACAAGTAGTCTAGAATGAAATATCATTTATGTAAATGATGAGAGAATAATGATGCTGCCAGTCATCAGCTTAATTATATCTATAGCGACATCGGAACCAATCCACCAGGAATCGAATGTAATGGTTTCCAGAACTAATGTCTTTTTTCAGAACTAATGTAGATCCTGTTACGTTACGTTACACATAAAGGGCCCAGTAACCAACATTACTGACAATCCCTTCTCACTAAATAGGAAAAAATAAGTTACAGCAAAATCAGGCTCAAATATTTTATTATTGTTTTCTATGATAGTAGTTGTTCTCTTAGCATAAAATTCCTCTTATCTTCATGTGCTATACAATATATGATCTGGTATGGGTACTACTTCGAAAACTTTCCCCATTCTATTTGATTGTGTATCGTGATCTTATTTTGCGCACGATGACCGCGAAAGGGCTGACAAATTGAATGATCTCAATCTATAGCGACACACAAATCGAATTTTGTTCGACGCTAAGAAAAGCCATTGTACGCAGGTCGCTCTACAATGGAACCAATCTATTGGCGTTGATTATTATTGAAGTACCTATAAACTTTTACTGCGCATTGTATTAACCGATAAACGGCTATTTCTATAGTCGTTTCTGATCCTTATCTGACAAGGAAGAATGCTATATAATATCATAATTAAAAAAAAATAGTACTAACCGCGGAAGCAATATAGTTGGAGAATTCTAGGAATTTTATAAAGCAATATAAAACGGAATATAAAATTATTTCGAAAGCAAGCTTTGCAAGAATTTATAGTTTCGTGTGCACATTCCAAATTTATTAGCACGAACTGTATTTATGCAAATGTTGCAGAGGTTTTATAAAAGAAAAAGGTTATAATAAATTCCTATAACTCATATACCTAGTCATCCGCAAAGTTCATAAATTGGTCACAGCTATTAAAATAATTGGAGCTATAGGTATCCTGAAACCATTCAACTATTTATGTTTAATATAACTACCAGAAACGATACAACAGCAACAATAAAATGTTATAAAATAGGTTAAATTAATCTTAATCTGTAGTAAAATAGATTAAATTGTTTACAATTTAATCTATTTTACTACAGATATGTGACGTCATCAAAAATTGTATACGTTCTGAACTATATTACATACATTAACTATATAAAATAATAATAAACTAGCTAATCAATTATAATAATTGAATGAATACCGGTAACGGTGAACAACCGAATTATTATTACATATTTATTCATAATAAGATTATTTTTGCGATACCAAACGGTTTTCGACATAACCCTTTTCTGATAAATCTGCCCGGATGCTGTACATATAATAATATTATGGTTACAACAGCGTGGGACCTTTCCAATCCAAGTCATTAACATTGAATCGTTGTAATCTAACAGTTGCTTCAATGTTTTATTCATGAAGCATACAAGAGATCTCATCAGACCATCAGTGGGATGTTCACGAAATACTGACAGCTACTTTACAATACCATGAATAACAATTGTTTGTACCCATATACGGTATGTTAATGTAAAAAAAATACAGTCGCGGCTATCGGATATCAATGACCAAGTTGCACAACAAGCAAATCGCCGGAGACATTCAAACAACTGTTTAAAATAACAGTTATTTGAAAATCCCGGATTTACTACCCAAATATCCATTCTTAAATGATGAGACGCCATTATACCGTACCCAAATAACCGCCAAGGTGATAAATTAATGTATCCTATATTCAGACGTAGACTATACTCAGTCTCAGCTATTTCAGCTGACAAGCGGCTTGCTTTGTTAGCCTGTGTTTCGGTTGTAAGGTGAGATTAGGCAGGGAAATTACAGGGTAACAGTCATGATCTTAGTCCTCTGGAATAGCTTTATTACAGGCGTTCCATGATAACGTTATGTCCGTACTGTTAATCATTTACATATATAGGCGGCGGTTACTACTTCCCATCAAGTACGTTGTCAGCTTGTTATCCAATTTAGTTACGTAAAAAAATAAAGTAAATTTATATTATACACATTAAATTTAAGATAATGTTAGAAGCAATTATTAAAATATTTTTATACCTTGTTGCAAAAGTATTTGTTAGGAAATTGTGTTTTTGTGTAGTATAGTGCTAAATGTACTACCGCATTCTAGGTAGATATAATAAATATTTTAATGCAGTACTTATAAGTAACTTGTCTATTGTATTCTATTATAATTAAAACATAGTTAACGACAAGTGTTCATCAAGATGGCCGCAGGCGTAACTCAGATACCACATATGTCGTGATGCCGTCACCCAAGATGCCATTGTTTGTAGTCTCGTAGTTGCTAGAGCCTTTTGTTCGTTTATACCACACATTGCCACACAATTTACATTGATCTATGATGGCTACACAAATATAACATAAGAAATGTTCCGACTGGGATATTGTTTGCCAATAACACGTCAGAATAACAAAGATTTGCTTTTGTGAGCTTTTATTGTACCTCATATATTTGAGCTTTCCAAAAATAAAACAATTTTCATAGTAGGATTTTAATGGAAACAAATACTTATGCCTCATTAACGAATGAAGTAGACAGACAATTTGCAGAGCATAGAATTAGATAGATATAATAAATGGTCAGATGGTTTTAGAGAGGAAAAGATTCTCTTTTCGATATATTTTTATCGGGTATCTTTACCAAATAAACCATGTTATTATGACATTTTTAAAGTTTTTTAAGGGTTTAGCGTCATGTCAGTCAACCTAAATGAAGGTCAAACTTTTTCTGAACAGTATATTGACTTTAAAGATTCACTGATTAAATAATATACAAGATTAAAGATAGAAGTACTAGTAAAGGGAAAAATGATAATGTATGAGTATTACCTATGAAGAATATGAATAGTATTTCTTAATATCACATAGGTGTGAAAATTCAACATCTAAACGAGAATTTTTAGTCAAAATATATTGATTCAAATAAAATTTTTGTTATTTAAAGACTACTACTACTACATCTACATTTTACTACAAAATATTCTTTTTAGTTTTAATAAGTACAGTATTTTCTGTAAACGAGGTGCCAATGGATTTGTTATAGTCACGCAAAAAGTAAACATGCGACATTCAAACAACCTTTCATAACAAAATATAATTATTGATATCAAATTTTCAGTGTTTCAAGGGTAATAGTAGTTTTAGTACAAAATAAACCCTATATATATAAATGTAACTTTTAAGTACCTACTGTCATATTCTACATAACTAATTTGTTACTAAAAGAGTTTATACTCATACAATTTATAATATTTTAATCATTTTAATTTATGTGATTTACAATAAACACGGTATTACTTATTATTTATTTATAGATATACTTTTATGTTCTTTTTTTTTGACGGGATTGATAGAATATTACCTATTAGGTACTATTTTTACAACAAGCATGTAAGCCATATTATAAATGATTTATACATATATTTTTATTTTATTTACCTTATAAATAAATAAAAAATAAATAGCACTAAATGAAAGTAAAGTAATGCCTTTTGCGTGTACACTTCTATTTCATAATACACAATGCATGTCCGAATTACTTATCTTGATTTTGGAAAGCGAAGATACACGTACGATAGGTGCTAAAATATTGCGCAGCCAGAACTAGCCTCTGTTCTGTTACTATTCCACTAGCAAGATTTAATTATTTCCGACATATTGCATTATTAATTCGACAAACCAAATAGAAGATAAACATGTAAGAGTATATTGTATGAGGGAGAAAAATAATCATTCTAATGTAGGTTTTTTATTTATTATTTTGTTGTATATTAAATACATTAATAGAAGTATTTTTTATTACACAATTGAGTGACGTGTAATTAAACACCTATATTGTTAAATAGATTTATTGGGGGTATTTTTTAATATATAATGATTAATCGTCTTCCTCAGAAATGTTTTGTTATTGATGATAAGGAAACGGCGCACCCGCCTGCGCTAATGGTATATAATGACGGGTTACCTGTGAAGGATGGATGGTTGGATGAGTATGATATTAGATCAGTCCGTCGTGGCGAATTCACCAGGAATTACCAACATAGTTTCCAGGGCGGTCAGAAGATAACTTTCAATTAGTGTTGGAAATATTATGACCTGTTCTGTACCTTCATGCATTATTCGCTTATTAGTAGAAGTACATACCTATGTAACAATAATTCTGTATTCTCAGGGTCACTCTGAATCGAAGGGTGCTAAGAAAAGAGACAAGAGTGTCGGCAACGGGAACGGCAAGCCAAGCCGTGGAGTAGCAACTTCCTTCGGCTTCAGACGTCGACCTGCCAGCACCTCAAGGGCAGACGACAACGCCAGGAGGAAGCAAAAGGCACAAGATAAAAATGGAAATGGTGGTAAGTTTCGTAATATGATAGATTTGTATTTCATCATCATCACCATAGTATAAGATAAAGTGGCTGCCGCTATCTGTCCCTCCCTATGCATGCCTAAATTTTTAAAACTACGCAACTTATTTTGAAGCGGTTTTTTTAAATAGATAGAGTGATTCTAGAGGAAGGTTTATATATAGGTAATACATGTATACCCCTGCGAAGCCGGGGCGAGTAGCTAGTTTACTATAAATCTAATTAAATATTATTTTATTCAACCATTATTGAATACATATTATTTGGTACTATGTATTTTGGCTTAGAATCATGGCAGAAAATTAGATAGATGTCTAATTTTCTATTTTTAATTATTAAGAATAACTTAATATTTGCAAAAACTAAAAAGATATAACTATAAAGTATCATATACATAAAAATCTCGTGTCACACAGTTTGTTGCAATACTTCTCTGTTTTGGAGAAGTATGATAAAACGATATTGATCTTTTTTTATGTATACTCGATAGATCTGGAAATACATTGTTAGCTATTTTTTATACGTATACCCCTAATAATAAGGGTGGGCCATACTAAAAAATATTTATTGTTTTTGGACATTATTTTTATAATTTTCCATTCCTAATTTTCACCCTTCTACCAACCTCTATTTTTATATTAATTAGCATTTCAATTTATACGGCTAAACATCTTTTGCTGTCTCATATAATAAATAGTATTAATTATTTACCTAATAGATTTTTTTACATGCTTGATTATAGATTGTATATGTTACCCAACCAAATGTAAGCAAAATTGTCCTGAAGCAATTATTTTTATTCTCGTCTGTTAATTTAATTTAGCGTGCCGTTAATATATTTAAGTGTCTAGCCTGGTGTGACCTTTGTGAAACCCGATTACATCTAATTTAGCATTCCTACATTTACTAGATCTGCACCACGATAAAAGCTTCCAATTACAATATATTACTAAAATGAACAGTACAGATAACTGTTCATTTATAGACATGAATTGGATTAATTGCCCGTGAAACAGTTATCGTGCAATAGATATTCATAGATTAGGAATTTTAAACACAGTAAAATTAATTGCATTATGTAAGTTCTGAATGTTTCAAAAACAAAGTTGTAGTGAAATCTTTTTGTTTCTACTGGCGGTTTAGCACACAGTCCTACTTTTGATGGTTCGGGTTCGAATCCTCGACAATTTTTAAATTCACGAGTACTATCGATTGTACCTATTAGTTTGGGTATGTCCTATGTATATTATGTACACATTTTCATTACAAATTTTTATTAACAAAAATGTATTTAAGAATTACTATCAAAAGTTTAGTGACCATGGTACCTAAAAAAGTTCTGCCTAGCTTGGTGTGAATTGTCCTGGGTTATGCTTCTATTTAACCCAGTGCTATTTTTACATCATGACAACATAAAAAAACGACATTATATACTGGTTTATTCGTGTTTTGCTGTGGACTATAAGAGCATTTCTTATGACAGGTTCTACAGAAGACCTGCGGGCGGAGGAGGTGTTGTCTGGCCGGTCGACACCCCTCGCGCGTCCCCGCAAGGAGACTGCTGGGCAGCCATTACGAACAAACAGGTAATCAACATGATTTGTGTTGCTATTTTTATTCATTACCAGCAGGGGCTCTATGTCGTTCTCGAGCAGAAAGTTTATTTACCTTTTTATAGTAAGTTATATCATGGAGATGAACAATTAATTTTGTTACAAAGACTTTAGCCTACATTGTTATATGAATTTTATTAGAAGGCTTGCAAGATTCTAGACTTGCTAAAAAATTATAAACAGGCCATTTATTAACATTCCAAATTACCTAAAGTTTAAACATGAGGGTTCATTGAAATTTAAATTGCGTGCAATTGAAAGTGGCAAATGTCGCCACTACACGATCAGCACGACGATACCAAGTCGTCATATAATGCTCCTGATACCACGTTTCGAACTAGAATACAACTTACAATCCATATGCTTGGAAATAGGTATACACAATGATGACTGTACAAAGTGTATTTCTTCTAAAAAGAACACCATGCCCCTCAAACAAATTATTTCCTAACACGTACGCGAATAACATTGCTAACATTACTTTTGTAGGCGCATAAGCGTAATATTTTGTTTCTTTTTTATAACTGTTAATACAATAATTAATTCATATTATACATATATTTTATATTTTGATTTTTCTACCTACTTCTATCCTATCTTTGCCTCCTGCACGAGTCGTATTTATATCACTACCTATACCTACCTTCACTATCGTCTTTCCGTAACCATCCACTTCCGGCCATTTTTATGCACTTTATATTATTATTTATGTATTTTATTTAACAGAAATTGTATCATTTGGTAGGTTCGGTTTCAGGCAACCGCACACCAAGACGGCGAAGGTGGGTGACGTGAGTGTCGCCGCTGAACATGCGTTCGGCCTCACCAGTAAGGATAAGGAAACGGCCATCAACAACAATGCATTAGGTAAGGACCATTGTTATCCGCAACAAGACACTAAATGCGTTTGTATGTCTAATACTCTTAATGTAACAATTTAATCTCGTATCCATTGTTAATAGACTTTGAAAAAAAAATAGTTTTGTGTTCATAAAAAATGGTGCCAGTATTTACAGGATTTTTTATTAAGTTACGTTCAGCTACAACTGAACTTGAATATACATGTACATTCCAAATAAACTTTTTAAATAATAGAAAAAATAATCGGTTATTGGGTAAATATAGTAACAGATTAATTAAATTACAAAAAATACTTTATTTCTCTACGGAGAGCTGAAGCCAATTTATATCTGGATATTTATTTTTAAATATTACCAAAATATTTTGTAGATTGTATATTAAACAAGGAATTTATTATTTAATACTATCGTAATTAAGAAATTTAGTGTTACTACCGATTTTATTATTTTTACAATTGAAATTATCAGTTCATATATTCAAATCAGTGCTGTGGTATTGACTGTACTTATTAATGTGTTTCAGATAAGAAAAATACTAGTACAAATTATGTTAATCAAGTGCCACTTGTCGCGACACAAGTGTCGTCGACTGGTTCGACCACCATCGTAGGGGCAACTGGCGTGCCCAAGACGGTCACCAAGCAAACTGTAATACTAACTTATCAACCACAACAGTACGCTGTGCAGGTAATTTTTTTAAATATATTTGTTAAATTAAATTATGATCATCTCACAGATCTTTTCTTTATTTGGGGATATCATCTATAAAAAATAAAATGTACACTTTTATAGGCACATGCAGCTATGATATACGGACTTAGCTCTTACTCTTAAATTGGAAACACCTGCCATCTTCTTTGTTATTGTTTTAACACACTTAATTTCTATTTATCGTTGTTGGAAAATTTTTGCCACTATATATATAATTGTACGCATGAAATTTAATTGTAGGTATCTTATTAGATTGTATTTTTTTTATGGATTAATGGCAGGCTAGCCGTAGAGTAGTGCATGGTCGGATGATGATCAGCCAGTCTGTCCATAGTGGTACAAATACATTGGTTTACAAGAACGAATGCATGAAGGCCGACTTGACATGGTACATTGCTAACAATGGGTGCCCATCATTCCGCTAAAACATTTCCAACGATAAGCTATAAGCACTGGATTGAATATCGATTGAATTGTTTCATCATTAGAATATATTTTGCATCAGGAGGGTCGGGCGAAGTCAACTCGGCCTGGAGACCAAGGGACGACCCGTGGCGTATCTGCATCACGAAGTCAAGTCATGTCAGATATTCAGAAGCCGCCTGGGAAGTACACCTTCCAAACCAACCAATTACCGAAGCCACAGTATCCATCAATTAAGAATGTTGACACGAAATCTGCTAAACAGGTAAGCTGCAAGAATTTTTATCTCCTTATTTTTGATACCAATTGAGATTACTGTAAACAAAAAGATCTAACTTTGATGAATAGTAAAATTTACATGTCTAATCTCGGAAAGAATGTAGAGAAACAATGATAAATAAATTCTTCTATATTCTACAAATACCTAAAGATTATATGTATATACTTATAGTTTTCTCTCGGAAACACTCTGATTGTGGAATGAACGATCTGCCAAGGTTGGATCTAAAGATTTGCTAGAAGTGTATATTGAGGTTTCTTAAGGGTCGTCAATACGCACATACGGTCGTTTGTATTTGCTAATCTCTGAAACGGCCGGACCGATTTTGACAGGACCTTAGCTTAAAGATAGCTAATATTCTAAGGAATAAGACTTGACTACATTAATTTTAGTAATACTATTTATTTTAGTATAAAAAAGTTAAAGTAAAAAAGTTAAATCCACGACGATAGCGGGTAACATAACAACAATAACAACGGGTTTTTAATATAAGTGTGTTACTATTATACAATAGTTACATTATTTTTGTTTTTTTTATACTACTATGCTGGCAAACAAGCATACGGCCCATCTGATGGTAAATGGTTACCGTATAATTTTTATACTGTACGGATATAAGGCATCTGAAAGTTACGATAATCGTTTACCATCAAATGTGCCATACGCCTGATTACTACCATTGTGGTATAAATAAAAATATATTGTTTACATAATTAATACTTAAGTTACATAATTAATTAATTCTCAAATGGTAGATTCAGAATTGAAATCTGTTCCTAAAACTCGTACATGTTTTACCACTTTATTCATAGTGTCAATAAAAATATCAAAGAATTGCACATCAATGCGGAAATTTCATAACAATCTAATAATATTCGACTTTAGATTAATGTAACAAAATAGTTTTTTCTGTTTAAAGTAGGTCACTATTCGTTTATTTATATAGACGATTGGGAAGCCGGTCGCGGTTTGCCGAAAATATCACTGCTGCACAGTGCACTCGACCTATTGTATAACTGAGATGGAACAACCCAGGATAGATCTGATCTCTTATATATTTTTTTACAAACTTCAATGTTTCTTTATTTAAATATTACTTCCAAACAGTACTAACTATTTACATCAATTATGTTTAATGTAAATTCTTTGTTATGCAATAAAGCAAGAAATTGTATGGAATTTGTATTTATATTATCAAACTTAACTTAACTAACAAATTAAAATAAATACAATTACTAAAATAAAAGTAGCCTGAGTTACTCCTTATAACATTAGCTGGTCCAGCTGTTTCAGAGATTAGCAAGATTTATTTTTGCTAATATTTGAAATAGCTGGACTTGGACCAGACAGACATTTATTTGTATAAATGTATAGATTAGTTATTTATTTTTTATGGAATATTTCGAATATGCAACAAGCTATTGTAGTCTACAGCACTCACACGAATTAAAAGAGATTGTATACGCGCACTTTCTTACCTATTTAGCAAAGCAACGTCTTAATTATACGACCGCACTAATTATACTAACATTTTTCCTTAGTTTTAGACCGTGACATGACGTGCTTTTCTAAACAGCTCTTGTACATTTAATTACTACCATTCATAAAATAAAATTTAATTAAATTACAAACAATAAACAATATTTTGTGTTGGCGACGAGTAGAATTTATCTTGAGACTTGTTGTAAGTAGTACTATGTCGTGTTTACTAGGTGGGCTATTTTTATATAGTTAACTGACTGAACTATGGGACATTGCGACATTGGCTACCGTAACCGAAGTGTTCCTGTCCGTAGTTCATTCTGAGTGTGCAGTTCGGTGCGCGACATGTTCAATACTGTATTATATATTTATATATTTTACGTAACAGCAAGTGAAAGTTGAATTGTGAAAGAAAATGCCTGTCATTAGTGTTTTTCATTCGCAGGTGGTTAACAACACAAGAAAGGCGAGTTCTACAGAAGGATGGAGGGAAGGTAATGTTAATTTTGTTAAATTCATAACTTTTTAATAGAATTTATTGTTTTTAATACAAATATTTACGAAAATGAAAGAAAGTATATATATCAAGATCTATATAACTGATTTTAAATGAATGGCTACTACGTCTATTATTATAGTCACAGATACAGTCTATTTGTAGTACCTACAGAATACATAAAATTTAAGTAATTTATATGGAGATTTAATTTAAAAACTTTCGAATGTTTATTATGGAAGTTGAACCAAAAAGATTCAACTTCCAAACATAAAAACAGACTTCTTATAAATTTAATACCAAATAATCTATCGAATAATACAAAATCAAGTTATTTATACGAGTAACAATTCAATCTTTTTTTTTTACGATTTTATTATGTATAGGTATATATTTTATAGATTTGATAGTTAATGACAATCGATCTTATTGTAGTCATTCTTTTAATTAATTAAGCGGATCTCGCCAAATATTGTAAATAAATGTGCTGCTAAAAGTCAATTACCAATTAAATTGTCACTTAATAGGTAGAATGACGTTTGTTTAAAATTTACATAGGATCGTATAATTTTCTTTCTAAGGTTCAGTTAGTACGATAAAAATAACTATACCTTCCTGCAGAGTGATGTTGAATGTTGTGTTCCACTTCCATTTCCTATTACACAAGAAGTGACAACAAAAAGAACTTAGCTGACGACTACAGAAAGAAGACTACAAAAAAAGTATATTTTGTTCCAATGTCTAATGTGTTGTACCTGTTAGGTCTTTATGTGGAGTGGAATACATATATTTTGTTCTTTCTGAAGTCGGCAGCTAAAAATATCAAACGTGATATTGTGGAATAACACGGGAATAAAACCAATTAATTGTAAAATAATTCGTAAATTTCGTTAAGACTTAGTAAGGATATTGAAAAACATACTTAAATAAATATACCTATGGGTATATATTTGTATCGTCAAATTGAGAATCTTGTGACAGTTATTTTATGTGTTATATTTATCCTTACTAATATTATAAATGCGAAAGTAACTCTGTCTGTCTGTCTGTCTGTCTGTCTGTCTGTCTCGCTTTCACGCCAAAACTACTGAACTGATTTAAATGAAATTTGGTACCCATATAGTCTAGACGTCGAGGAAGGACATAGGCTACTTTTTAATGCGAAAAAAGGGTTGTAAGGGGTTGAAAATGGTAATGCAAGGTTATCTTTATGCGGTTGAATACACACTTATTATAATAATGGCTTAACTAAAAAATTAGATATTTTGGAAAGTCTACTTTATAATTGTGTTATTAAGTCTATTTTCAAAAATTTTTAATTTCTGAATTACACCAGTATTGTACTAGATATGCGACTTATTAACGCTCATATGTCATAAATAAACATATATGTCATTTGTATAAGCAGAGCGCATGCGATGTTGCGCGCGCAACTGATTATTGTCAATCCGTTGTCTCCTTATGAATTTAAATGAATAAACGTTTGCTCTGCAATTTTATTTTATAAATACATAAATATAATCCTGGTATAGCCTATAACTGATGACCCTGCTCTTGGACAAGAGCGTAAGAATATTTATATATTTTTGAAGAATAAAACAACATATAATATTAAAAATGTTGTCAATACATATGAACAACATTTCCTTGGAAGAAACAACATCTACCGTTCCATCCGAGCTATTCAGGTTCGGAATACGCGTTTCTCCATTCTGGCCAGTAGAGTCAGAGATATGGTTCGCGCAAGTAGAGGGATAGTTTGCAATTTAGAATATCACATCTATTATTTTGATTTAACAAAATTTTATTATGTTATTGGCCAACTGGACCACCAATTTTCAAAAGAATTTAAAGAAATGTTTAAACTGTTTATTAAATATAAATAAATATGACATTTAAATTTGTAAATATCACATTGTCACCATTATACCACCAAGGGGTAAAATAAAATAGCAGATAAAAGTTTTTATGGAAATTCGTCATATTTGAAGCTAGAACGACGAAGCTTTTTTCTTACGCTTTTTTGGGTCAGTTTATTTAATAAATACCTTACTAATATTATGAAAGTGAAAGTGACTCTGTCTGTCTGTCTTAAAAGCCAAAACTTCTGAACTGATTTAAATGAAATTTAAAGTCTAGATCTTGAGATAGGACATAGGTTACTTTTTAATGCTAAAAAGGGTTATAAGAGACTGAAAGAGGAATATTTTAAAAGTTTAAGCTTCAATCTTATTTTCTTGCGTATTGATTAAATATAATTAACGAAAATGGGTTGTAAGGGTCAAAAGGGGAGTTAAAATGTTGTATGCATGTATTGTCATTTTTTAAAGCTAGAAACTTGAAACCCATTTTTTAGGCTGTTGAGAAAATATCAGTACCTACCGCCACAGGACTCAGCCATAAATGGTTACAGTATAGCAACATCTTATCATTGGTACATGATGACACTAATATAAGTAGCATTAAAAAAAAACAAGAAAAAGGGTTATAAGGGGTTGAAAGGGGAGATGTAATGTATGTATGGTATGTATGGAAGTATCTTCATTTTAAAGATACATAGTAGTTTGAAACTTAGTTTTTGGCTGTTGATTGAATAGTATGGAATTATGTATGGAAATTTCATATTTGAAGCTAGAACGATGAAACTTTTTTATTGGGTTAGATTATTAATATATATTTTTTATTATTTGCTCAAGGTCACTGTTTTACGCGGACGAAGTCGCGGGTACAGCTAGTAATGAATATAGAGTAATAATTTCGTCGTTAATTTTGCACCGTATTACATTTTTTTATATATATATCGTACCTATTTATTTAAAAAGAAAGATCACGATCCCGTTTCAATTAATTTTGTAGACGTAAACGCGCCTTTTTGAAATTTTTAATTTTTCTCCATTGTGAAGGTGCAGGTTCGGCCGTATCGACTGACTCTGGTGTGTGGACTGGTGGAGAAAATGGAGCCGGTGGGGAAGGTTCTCCACACTCACGACACCGCCCCCGGAACCTTGAGATGGTGATGCGAGGGTCCCACAGCTTCCATCTACGTGAACTGCAAGTCACTGATCTTGATATTATGGGTATGTGTCACGAAATTTATTAAAAAAGTACAGTTAAAAATTAAACTCAAAATAATAATACCGGTATTAAATGTTATATTGTTAGAATGTGATACGACGTTATAAATAATGGGTATCAGACCACAATGGTACTCCCCTTGGACGAAACAGTGTTAATGTCCTACATAATTGTGTTAATTGACTACGCCATGGAGATGTATATTTTCTCAGTTCACGCAACAAACAGTCCAAATTGTTTCCTGTTGATTATTCTAAGTACCTCTGGGACTTAATATTTTCAATGCATAGAGAACGTTTATTTTATATCAGCAAAGACTTGGATTCGATTTAAATATCAAAGAATTGTTTTTTTTTTTATAAAATTAGCAAAGAACTTTATCTTTGTGATACGAGTATAAACTTCACATCTGCTAAACTCCGCTTTATTATCTCAACTTTATATTCAATATTTTCTAATTACTATTACAGACGATGCGGTAGTAACGGGCCATGCAGTAATACCCTTACCAAAGCTTCCAAGTTCATTTGATGATGAACTCACGCCGGAGTATGAGACATCCCCCACGCCAACTTACAAGCCTCCATCACCTATCCTTCCTAAATCGAGTGCAGTAGCTGACTCCTCGCAGAGGAATAACTCGCCGATGTCAACTCTGGAACGGTATAGGACTAGATCCAGGCCCACTAGAATTTTAAGCAATCTGGAATATAAGGACGAAGAGAAGTTTGTTCTGGACAGGGCACAACCTGAAAAGTTGAATAAACAGGTTCGTTAGTTAATTGTTTCTAAATTTCCTCTCACTTTTCACTTGCCGTCTGATGACTCAATTTCTATATATTATCCTACTAGATTGACAATTATCACCTGACATAATGTTTCTTCCAGCCAAAACAGTAATACTTAACTATGTCTTTAGTCATAATTAGGACAATTTCATGACTATTATTAGCAAAAGTCAATTGAAGTGAGTTATATTTATTAAAAATATATAATTAGATTCATTCTAATTGTTATAGAATTCGTTCGTAAAATCTTTGAGTGGTGTGGGCTCACCGACTACTGTGAGTTCTAGCAAGGAATCAAGTCCATCGTGTAAGAGTGAGGAAAGCCATTTTGGAAGCAGCAGCGCTTGGCAGAGCCACGCCGCAGGAGAGGCAATGGCTACTAGGTAATTACTTCTATTTTGTAATTTCAAATAACCAAAACTTTGAAGACAGAAATATTTGCTAATACATTTAAAGTAAACGTGCTGAGATCTCTGATCTGGTAATAATCACATGCCATGCCATATATGTACACGTGTATAGTATATATGTATGTGATTTTATATTTAACTTTTTGTTTTCAGATCCCAAGACGATGTGTCCATTGCATTAAGCGTATCTAGTTGTGAGGACGAAAAGTCTAAATTTGATATGAAGGAGAATCAAAAAGCTGAAATGGAGATACCTAAGAAGACAATCGTTATAATGGACGAGCCACCAGTGCCCCATCCACTTCTAATGAAGTCAATAACTCTCAGCCAGCACGAATCACTACGAGCCACAATGATGGGTTAGTTATTTGTGACCTACTTATCTTTGTATATCCTAGCTCATTTTCAAACGTTTGAAGTTTCGTCACAGTAAAATTCTGTTGTAGATTTAACGACGATATACATTTAAGTCTATATATATATATATATATCCTACAGTGGAAATTTCTGTTAAAAACTTCCGCTGTATCAAATCACAGTGGAAACCTAAAATTAATAAATCGATATATGTACATATGTAATAATACATAAAGAACAATTAAACTCTTTTTTTACCTTACTATGGACGTCACATTACGATTTTATAGAGAAAGTAAATAAGAGTTATTTGTCTAGAAATTGCCGAAATGTAAAATTTTATTATCTGTTTCCGGCAACTGTTCTATGCAGGACAAAACATTAGAAATTTCTAGCTGTAACTATAGCTATAACTACGAACTGCTAGTGTCTTTAAATGAAAACGGTAATCAATATGAAATAGTAGCAATTATGCGTAATACAACTATTTGGTAGAATTACGAAATTTTGTTAGTATTACGAAATTCCTATTAGTGCCTACCATAATGTTATACTTACCTTGTAATAAATGAATCCAAAAAATGTTTTAGGATCAATGACAAGTTCAAATTATAGCACGACCAGCACATGCACAAATCAAAGTGCTGACCATCCCAACTTGACTCTAACACTCGAAGATTCCAAATTTGACATGTCTGCACTAGAAACTTCCACGCAAAGTCTAATTGATGATGAAACATCGCCTGCTGATAGCCTTATATCCTCCACCAGTACTAGTGATTCAAATAATGATTTACAAATCGATAGAGATGCTCCATCCATTTCATCGGCTTATCAGACAGCAAACACGAAGACCAAGTCTCCAGAACCTGCTGATGAGCTAGAAGACGATGTGGATGGTGATATGATGGGTCAGGCGAATGGAATAAAGTAAGTTTACCTGTAGTTATTTTTATAATTTTATTGCGACACGTGTTTTGTCTCTAAAGATCAGGCAAAGACCAGAGTTTGGTTACTGTTTACAACTGTTAGATACAGTTTGGAACTAATGTTGACTCTTCGGCGACCGTATTACGACTTAATCGCATAATAATACAAGACCATTATGTAATGTATTCATATACATAGCATATTTTTAAATAATTGTTAATTTTTAGGCTCATTTTGTTGTTAATAAGTTAGGCTTGTTTTTAAGTCGGTGGTAATTAATCTCATTCACCCAAATGACGTCACAGGAACGTAGATTTTATCTATTTATTTGATACTTATATCTTTATTAAAATATATGTCCCTTGGGGAAAGTTGTTTGGTTTACTACATACCAAATGCCACCTATCACTGAATTTCGAATTGTATAACAATTTCCGTTACACCTTGTGCGTGTTTACGTTCCGTCATCTAATTTATTTATAATTTATAATTTTTAGTATGTGTGGCGTCATAAATTACGACGATTGCAACAAATTACTTTATTTTTACCAAGGCCGTGAAGGAATGAACATTGCAATTGGAATCATTTGTGAATACTTGTTCTAGTGAGGTGATACGCCGCAGTGTGGAAGGTAGTAAAAACGCAACACCCGAGTCCCCAGGAACACCTACACATGCTTCGGGTTCACTTTCATTGTCAGATGGCCGGGACTTCTTTGATGACGAGATAGCAGATCAACCAGCACTGCTTTTTCGAAGTAAGTAAACATATTAATAGATTTCGATTATAAGTATAAATGCAAAATGTAAAATTTAGACTTAATTTAAGCTGAAAGGTAGCGTTATAACAAATTACCTACTCTATATCTACAAAAAATTTGTTTTTATAGATATAGAAACATTACTACACCTTTTACACACTGTAACCTTATAAAAATATTGTTTTACTTTAGTTTTTTTACTAGAAATAAATAACTTTAATAACTGACGCGGATTCTGATGAAAAACTACTTTAATATAACCATGTTTTATTTTAGAAAACACGGACGGTAGCCCATCCAGTAAAATAGTTGATTCTGAAGCGAGCAGACAATTAAGGAGGTCAAGGGAGCGAATTACATCAAGCCCGCTTGTACAGAGAAACCGAAAATGTGAGTATTATGTATATACCTAATTATATATATTCCTTTATTTATTTGCTACAATACATACTCATTTACACTCTTGTTATTATAAAACATATTCACATAATTTTGATGATATATTTAAAGTCTGCACTAATACAAACGTAAGTAAATAATAACAATTCAAAGGTACGAAAATTAAGATGTTATTATTTAATAATCAAAATTTCATTCATCTTTCTTTCCTATTTATCGCATTGAGAGAATCCTGCGATTCTTGGTTGATTGAAAATTTTTTATTTAACTTTATTTTTCTAAAATAATAGAATTTTTCTAAAATAAAAGTAGTTTATGTTACTCCTTATTACATCAGCTATCTGCCAAAAAAGTCTCGTCACAATCGGTGGCTGGGCCGATTTCACAGATTAGCCGGAACAAACAAACAGACAGACAGACAGATATAAATTGTAAAAAATGTTATTTTGGTGTATTTCGCGTATTTATATTCATACGCATGTAGTAAAAAACTATTTCAATATTACAAACAGACACTCCAATTTTATTTATATGTAGGTATAGATATTAGATGAACATAACACCTGCATAACAAATGAAATGCAAATGTAAGATAATTTACACGCCTATAGAATGGTAAACATGCGGAATGCTTGTTAATTAATTATATAAGATCTGCTCTGTGCAAATACCAATATTTTATAACTAAATATTTATTTCATTTTTTTACATTTTTGGTATATTTGTGGTATTTGTGTGGTAGTGTGCGGGGTACGTAACGGAGGTACTGAACGCACCCCCTCATTGGACACGCTGTCGAGCCTCGCGTCTGATGACCTCATGATGGACAATGACCTAGCGCAATCTATCACCAGCCTACAGAGTGTTGATGACTACATTGAAAGGTAATTAAATGCAGACAAATTCTACGTTTATATTATATTTAACAAACGGCGTGCGTGCGAAACCAGGCCACACGAGTATTTAACAAAAATTTCAAAAATATATTTTTTAACACATACATATACATACACTCCTACATTATTGACGTCGTCTATAGAACTGTAGTACATCATTTTGCACTGTTATCAATAGGATACGCAATATAATGATTTTTTGGGGTAGATATTTTTTTCACACGTTGGGTTAAATTATCGAAGTTTTCATAAGGTTCCTTAACGCAGGGATAATTTAGGAATAACATTTTTTTAAACAGTGTATTAAATCGGTACAGTATTTTCGCAGTCTATCTAATGCAAGTAAAGAAATAAATAATGAAAAAAATTAATTCTTATAAAACTATAATTAAATAATTTCAATTTCGTGAAAATTTTAACTATCGACCTTAACAGAGGTAGATTATATACACAGTCGCCTGCACAGATAGCTGTCTTACATATCTCAACAAACAATTTTGCCGTATAATCTGTGTTTAGATAAAATATTAAGACGGAATAAAGATCACAGGTCTCAGGGGGTCGCTTGAACTATTACCTTCCGAAGAAGTCGCGTTAGATAAAGTAATAGCGAATACTAGTGAAGTAATTAATACCATTACACAGATTGGACAGCTCCCTACGTAGTGGGCTCAACTCGCTGGACGAACGGCAGCTACGACAGGAGCTTTCCTCTTCCAAGACAGCTATACGCCAATGGAGTCAACTGCTAGAACAAAATAACATGCTCGACCGACAGCTAGCGGCAATGGCGCAAGGAAAAAGTGCTCCAGTTTCGCTTACTGCCAGCACTACTAGTCTATCCAACATTGGGTAAGTCAGTAATATTAATACATAGTATAATAAGTATTAGCCAAAAAAGATAGAAGGTTTGTGTGGAAACGATATGTACAAAAGGTTGTGGGTAAGTTCAGATATGACGACTGATAGGGATCAGTGAAAGAAGAGGACATACTGCACCGACTTCAAATAATGGAAAGGCAGTGATGAAGTGATGATGAAGTGTTAGCCAGATAAAACAATCATATCTCATCTCCTCGTCTTTCAACCAGTATACAGGATACACGAAATTTAATACTTTTTTAAACAGTTTCTGGTATTTCTTGGTTTTCAGGTATTTCTTTAATTTGTACCATCAAAAGTTAAACTCAGGATTTCAATTGCTAACCTGATGCGTATAACCACGCATCAAAAATCTTGCCGTTCTATGGCGGTACTTAAAAAAGTAATTTCTTTATATTTTTAAATAAAAATAAGCTTTTGTATAATTTTAAAAGCTATGTTTCACATTTATGTTAAGTATAAGATCAGCGTGTAAAGTATTTTTTTAAATATAAACTTCTTAAGACCATGTATATTAGCTACAGTGGAGTTATTGAATTCTGAACCATTAGTATATTGTTTTATTGAATCCAATAACAAATATACATAAGACAACAAAAGAATATTGACATAAAGACAAAAGAATGGTATGAATAGAATTGAAATCAAAACAAATAATAATAACCAATGATAATCTATATATAGTTATAAACAACTAGGTAACATTCTAATAATATTTGTGGAATATAAAAAATAACTCTGTTCGTTGTTAAACCAACAAATTCACAGAATTAAACTCGTGTTAAAGTTAATATTGTTGCATATACCGTATAACATTTCAATTCTTACTACTTACATTATAATGTTAACGTGACTAATTAGACTTTCTTTTTTATTATATATTCGTACTTATTTAAAGAGATATTTTGTATGGCTATAATGCTCCAAAAGTAGTATTTCGACATACAGATACTGGTTTAATATATTTTTACCTTTTTTTTACGTTATATTCATACCGTGTACTCGTAACTTTTGGCCGGGTCTATTATTTACATACTATTTACAATTTCATACCACAGCTGTATTATAACTGTAGTATGTATGTATTATATCTTTATAATATACCTGATCCTTGTAACTTCATAATTTTTCTACATTGTAGCTCCTATGGGTTATAGTGTGTGTGTGTTATATAGCCTATAGTCTTTATTGATAAATGGGCTATACACAACACGACAACAATTTTCAAAATCGGATCATTAGTATCGAAGATTACACCGAGCATTTAAACTCTCAAACATAACCTCTCTATATTATTAGTACAGATAAGTTCATCATTTTACTTTTAGATAATCCACTAAAAAATAGAATCAAACTCAAATTTGTGCACACAATCAGCTACACGGTCTGCGTGATTTTTAAGCGCAGTAACAACTTCCCTTGTACTTGCTGTTAAATATAATGGGCCTCGCCATTTTCTGACATTCTAATCACATTATATTCTTGAGATAACGCGGTAATTACTTTAAATGCTCTAATTTAGCTTTTGTCGATTACGACATTTAAAAACTTGATTTTTACTAAGAGCTTAACTTAAGAGCGAGGTCAGTTTTCATTTTTTATACAATTATATTTTATGTATTCAATGAACAGATTTCAACTCGCGTACAAGTATTATCCAATAAAGTGTGTAAATCAATATTATACCACAGACTACGATCTATTTATTTTGTACCCTTCTTTACCATCACTTTATGGACTATTTGAATCAGAGTAAATTTCAAGACCAGTTGCTGATGGTTCCATTACAAACTCCATACTGCTCTTAACACGTGCACTGATAAAAATGCCTTTTCGTAAGTTAAGTATTAGAGTATGCTCTTGAAGTGGTATAGGTTTAAAATAACTTTACGTGTTGTATTGAAAATATGTGCTTCACTTCAAAAGTTCACGTTCAACATTCTAATTGAAATCAGATTCAAAAATAATTTCAAATGTCTTAGAAATATATATACACACGCACACCGACACTTTCGTAATATATACGTATACATATTTAGTCATAAGTGCAAAAAAGTATCAAAAATACATTTTCTAAGAGAATTGATGAAATAATGTAGGGAGTCCCTTGCTAGCATTAACCACTAACCCAAATGGTAGAAGGCATTTTCAATATTGTGGGAAACATAATTTTTACATATTGTTAGACCTACAATGACAGTCACTGGCAGTTTTTATATTCGTTTATCCATATTTAAAATATGAGAGTTCTTTTTATACATTTTGTTTTATATCACTTCTGTCACTTCGCTCTGCTATAATAAACGTCTCTAAAAGCATCTCTATTATTTTCATTAATTTTTACTCATATGATGAACAATTGTAAGCCATCGGCTAATTCGAGGCATAGGTAAACAATCTTAGGCATATCAAAACTAATCTTACCTGCGATTTAGCAAAAATTGTCGGGAAAGAAAAGTACCTCCTCGTTTTGGCTGTATTTTGATAAAGCAAGTGTCTTAGCTACTTATTTCAATGAACCTTTTAAGTTACTAGATATCTTAGTTAAAAGTGACTGGATTTTGAATATTCATTTAGCTGTCAGTGCGGTTAGTTTTATTGTTAGTCAGCATTTCTTTTCGAAACAAACTATAATCTACTGTTGTAAAATAAGTACCTACATGAACAAGTATTTTTTACCTACGTATATTTAGTAATAATTGCAACCCGCCACAGTTTCACACGGATGCATTGGAAATCTTTACTTTAATACGTATGTATTTTACATATAAATCAACTCTTCAATTACTCTATGTATTGCTGAAACTGCATTAAAATCCGTTGTGTAATATAAAAGACATAAGCGAACAGACAGTGGCAGCGACTTGTTTTATACTATGTAAAGAAGATCATTATTTTCGCACATACATTTCTTTCCATATCTACACATACGGGATACAGGAAGGTAGATAACATTACATTCACTCCACTGTATGTTGCTGTAAACATACTCAAAGAACCGTAACAGCTGCAATTATCAGACATCGCGTGGGCGTTTGTTTTGACCTCCATGCGCCGTGACACGGTACAAAACAATCGCTATGATACTCCTACGTATGGTAGTGGGAACGATTTCCTTCGAAGTTCCATTCTTTAGGCTGAATACACGTTCGTACAGATTTATAAAGCAGGTACCTTTATATTAAAAATAATAACACTATTACGCATATAAGTAATAATACGCAAAAAATATTGTGGTCGTATTTATTTACACTTATTTTTTGTGTTGAATATTTTGTAGAAAATTAAGATATCCAACGATGATTTTGTGTAAGCTTACAGGAACTTATAAGTAGTAGTAAGTTTATAAGTATGAAAATTATAAACACGAGTGTTTGTGAACATGGAAAGGTAAATTTGGTGGTTTTCCACCGTACGTTCCTCCAGAAAGTTTTTGCCAAGTACATTGTGAAATCGTCTAGCAACAATGCTTTTCTTTTCCAAGCTATATTGCTATCTTCGAGTAAAAAGATTATTATTTAAAAGGAGCAACAACTCTCCAGATATTCCCCCAAGGTCAAGGTTATCTTTTACCATCAGAGAATGCAAGATTGTTTGCCTCTATGCTATAAAAATCTCATTCGCAAGACTTCTAGGTGGATTCCAATAAAATTTATCACATATTGTAGGACATAAATATTGTCAATTAAAACATACAACTTACGGACAAATATCAACTTACCTTTTACGCGACTTTCCGCGATCGTCGCGGGATACAGTTACTTATCACAATAAACGAGTTTTTTCATTGATAATGACGTAATGGTGTACCAGCCTGCGTTAATTTCGTAAGATATACTTTATATTACCCGATACCTTCGCCAAAATTTAACGGGTTTCGGAGATTTCTTTTTGCATACGTTTGGATTTATTGCCTTACTCCTCACGATTATAAAGGTATTTTTATTTAAAACTAAATATACATTTCAGTATATTTTGCGTTTATTTATTAAAATTAATATTTATTAAATTAAATAAAAAAACTTGACGAGGTACAGAAGTCATTAAACATTAACATGAATTAAGTATCCTTGCCCAATATTTAGTGTCAAATATCTAGTCTAGAGTCGCGCTCGATTTACTAAACATCTAAGTACCTTTGAAGTCCAAGATTACAAAACAACGGACAGTTAACAAGCATTTCGTAAGTTGAATTTCGCGGTGCGACCACCGATTTTCAAGGTACATTTTACGGTGAGCTTTGTGTTGAAAGGTCCTTGCACCATGAGGTAATCAGATAAAGTGGCGCGCAGCTGCTATGGGGCTTCGGTTCATCTCGTCGCGGGCCGCAGTCCCCGTTGCCGGCTTGTTAAGTTGTTAGTCTGAAACTCGTCGCGCACGCGGCCGTACGTAGCTGGCCTTAGCACGACCACGAACACGTGCCCACCGCGCAGTACGATACCATCAATAAAAGTAATTTTGATCAACGATCCAATCCCGAACCGGTCAATGAACTTAGCAATTAGAATATCAATGTACACCAGCTTTTGCTACGTAAAAGTTTGTGCATTTTTAAAACCTGAGTACGTTTTTCGGTTTGTAATGACAAAATCTACCCCGCGAAACATAAGTACGAAAGTAGGTACTTAATTATTACTGTGGTTTCAAGTTAAAAAACTTCAGAGTAAAGCCTAAAATGCTCATGTTATGGAGATTCATACCCTGCAGTGAAACGTTAATGGATTCTTGTTGTTATAGTATGGTGGATTTGTTTTGGGTATTGTGATCTTCTTAATAATCTTATAATTCAATGCAGTTGCGTAGTATGCAGCATTCTTCATAAGTGTATATAATACCTTGGACTATTGGCGTAAATGCGGAAGCCGGTTAACTTAATACTGGAAATATTGTATTCTGTTATATAATAGATACCATAATGTGTAAAAAAAATAAGTATCTATTTAGTATATATACCTACATTTTCTATAAGA